GGATATACACAGAAAGATAACCCATCACTGAAGGGTTCAAGCTATTTAGCAAGCAAAAGTTGCGTTTTAAGTGATCTTTCCAAAAGAGAGCTAAGCTAAAACAGCCCTCACACCAGACAGGATAGCTGCTAGGAAAGCCTGTCTCCCAATAGCCACGAAATGTACTGGTTTACACAAGACATATGCAGTCAAAAAACAATGGCTCAAGGCTTGAGTGGGTTTTTTTTGACCATCTAAATAAATAAAAACTTAAGCATTAAAATCATTTTGCACACATCACATGCTTAAACACATGCAATATCTGGAAAATAAAGTTTTCTTTCGGGCAATCTTCTCAGATTTCACCTTCCCAAAGCATTAATTACAGCAAATGGAAAAAGTGGTCAATTGAATATTGTATTCTCTAGCAATGGCATTATTCCTACATTCTGTTTGGGCCACAAGTCAATGCATGTCACTTTCAAAAAGTGTAAGGTTGGTAACACTGAGCTTCTGCAAGTGAACAGAGCCATTCAAATCTGAAATCTTCAGTCTGTTACAATGTAGAAATTAAGGAGACCTGCCCAGACTACCCAGGAATTGCTGAGCTCATGAGATTTTCCACAAGACCAGGACATGACACATTTCTTCAGTCCCATTAAGAGTAACTCCCAAAAGAACTATGGGAATCACACAGTTCTGAGACCAAAGTCATTATAACCATATTATAAAGACTGAAGTCCCAAATTTCTATTAATATAAATAAGCAAAAACCGAGCACTTACTTCTTGTAGCAATACATGCCAACTGCATCAAAGCAGGCAAGCAGAAAGCCTGTCAAACAAGCAGCTTGCTGGCCGTATGCAATGCCACACCTTAGCAACACACTTGTAGTTGTTAGCTTTTTACTGTACCAGAAGTACTGCTCATCTCTGGTGACACTACTTCCTTTGCTCGCTTCTCAAGTGGTACCAGTGGCTTAGGGTATCTGGATGCTAAAAGTTTTCAAAAGCAAGATGGCAGTAAGTCACTACTTAAAATCTTCCCATGAGTCCCAGTGTATCTGCCAGCAGGAAGGAACCTGCATAAACAAGGAGAGCAAGTTTCTCTAGATCTTACACACACTGCACTTGCTGGCTTTCCTCTGCAAAAACACGTGGCTGTGTTTCTGCACTCAGACACTGAGCTTTAACATAGGAGAAGAAAGTCATGAAGTTTATTCTAAGTTAAAGTTTCATGAAACATTTGCTACAGGCTGACAACTTCCATAAGATACTAAGTGGTTACTGAGATGACAACATAATAAAAAATTTATACTCTCCTAAGCTAAATCAGTTTACAGGTTTTCTGCCACAAAAAAAAAAAAAAAAAAAAAAAAAAAAAAAAGGAAGTCCAATAAATCATAAGCTTTCAAATGTAATAAAGCTTACGGAAATGTCAGATTGACAAATGCCACACAACAGTGCTGAAATGAAGAATGGAAATAAGAAATTTTCTAATGCCCTGGAGTACATCTTAGAGACGAGATCTCATTCATACGTTTGCTGCTTTGGAGTTTTGGGGTGTGCTGGTTTTTTTTTTTATTTGTTTGTTTGCTTGTTTTTTCAATGTAACTGCAATTACACTCCTGAAAAGTTTCTTGGGAAAGGCAGCACACCTTCTGATTAGATTTTAGCTGTATGAAATCCCTCAGCTGAGGTAACCCGCACAGCAGAAATCTTCCCAAGCACTTTGCCTTTGCTGGTACTGGACAACCATATTCTCGAGAGCGGACATGAAAAGAATCTGAAGAAAATTTAGCTGCATTTCATAAGAATCCAATGTGAGGATAAAAGGAACTGGAACTTCCTGTCATTTCTTCAACACCAGCTTCTCCTCCCCAGCCAGGCGCGTGCTCATTGAGCTCCTCACAGAGCCCAGCACAGCCCCCCTGGGCTGAGCTCCATCCCAGCTCCCAGGCAGAGCAGCAGGCAGAGCTCTGCCCTTCCACACTCAGGCTGGGAAAGCCAGCACGGATTTATACATTGAACACTGTAGATATAGCAGCACATGACAGCTAAGGGGCTGACTGCAGCTTATTATTTCTCCCTTCTCCTCAGCAAGTCTCAAGAAAAACAGTGTCAGAACAACCACAGAAACGATCAACCCAGAACTGCCTCACTGCTCTCTTTTCTGCTAGAAAAACGGCATCATTTTCAAGCAAACAGATTTAATACTAGCAGTAATTGACATCTGAGCTGATGAGTTTTTTATAATGGTTTGTGACAGGTAACAAAATATTTAGCGTTACGTAGATGACCAACATATGAAAACAGAACAATTCCATCTGCAGACATCAAAGAAAACAATAAGCAGTTGGTTCAGCACTCCTCCTCCCGTACTCTGCCTTCATCAAAAGGCTCAATGGTTTGAGAGGGGAAAAAAAAAGAATTTCAGAAGCAAAAAAGAGAAGTAATATCTGTTTCCATCCGAACCACATTATTGTTTTCATCACAGAGTATTTTAGACTCAGCAGTGAGACCAGTGATTGCTGTGGTGTAGCTGCGACAGACCACAAGCATAAAGGCACTGTGCACAGGCAAGCTGTAAGAGTTGCTCATTTTATCAGCTTGCTGGAGCACTTCAAATTACACGCTTACCAGCAGGTCTGCCAGAGGACCTTTTTTTAGAATTGTAATCAAACGCCAAAGCTAAAAACCCATTTCTTGACCTAGGTCACTGCAGGTAGATATCCATCTTCACATGCAGCTCAGCTCACCCACATCCATGAGGCTGTAGAGGAGAGAACTGCCCCCCTCAGGTGCCACTGTGCCTGCCAGTCAGTGTGCATTAGCAAGGCTGGTCCCCTCCACACATCCGTCAGTCCTCCCAAGAAACTTCACTGTCCATTGGAAAAACAAAAAAAGAAATCACTCTTCAGACAAGAGAAGTAAAGCCAGAAAGCTCCAATCATGCTTTGTTGTATTAACACAGGTTAAGCTGTACCAAAATGAGTCACTAAGATCTGGGTGGTTCCTGAAATCAAAAGGCAGATAACCGGTTTATTGTTAATAGCATGGTGTGCCTGCCTCGCACAAAAAAAGGAATTATTTTCATAATAGATCACATTTGATGCATCTAAGGAACTTTGGTTAAACATCCGTCTGATGAATTTGCAGCCTTTCAAATCCACTTCCCTGCAGGAGTTGTGGAAGTAGTGGCACCTGGGCTCTAATAATAGATTATAAAGCAGAGATGCTTCTTCTGATACCACAGTGAGATTTTGCCCAACACTAACTGTAACTCTGCAATACCCTCATAAAGATCTTGCCACAGCTGTCAGACCAATTGCAGACACAGTGCACTGCCCTTCACTCACAGTGCTACGTTTTTTTACAAAGCCATGACACACTAACTTGGAATTATGAACATTTTTCAATCAGAATGTACCAGTTTGGTCAGATTATTTGCTAAACAGCGTATGGCATGACATGCCGGTGCCCTCATACAGAATCTAGCTAGAGACTGGATTCTCCAAACCTGTCAAGTAAGCCAGCAAAATCCAGCTGACAAGGACACATACACCACTACCAAGTTTTTGCATGTTTTCCAGTTAAGGCAGCATCGGCAAGAAAACAAATCCAAGCTTATTACATTTCATAAGATCCTTTACTGAGTTAACATTTCACATAATGAAATGTAGCTCGGTGCTCTGAAGGAACTGCACATAGTTCTTACAGGATTTTTCCCATCTCTGAAGCAAGGATGAAGAAATAACACATTCACTTATCACAATGTGAGATTTCTGAGAGTCCCTGTGTAGACACACTGTGTTAGTATTATTAATGGAGAAGTGTAACATTCTGGAGTGAGAACGTTTTAAGCCAGCACAGATGAGAACAGCACCCTCAACACGTCTGCTGTATGGTTATTTCTTACCTAAGCTACAGAAACCTCCTTACTGCTGGTTACCAAGTTTGCTGCACTGCTTTAAAGCACTTTCATGAATCACTTTCTAATATACGATTGACACTAAAGGCAGAAAACCTGAGCATAAACCCAATTCCTTCCTCCTAACCCCCCCTCCATCTGTAACAGAAAACTGATACAGAAGTCAGAACCATTAAATCACTCCTGACATTGCCAATACCATCTCTATATTTTCATTTCCCCCATATAAAAAAGGAGCAAGGAGTACTTCACCGTGCCACCAACAAAACAAAGCCTCAACCATGGAGCACCACCTCCACAGACAGGGAAGCAGCACTATTACAGTTAGCAGAAATTGGGCAATTTGCTACTTTAGTGTTTCTGTAACTATGAAAAACACAAAATATTTAGATTCAAATCCATATGCATCATCTCCATCTGCTGCAGCCGACATGCTTACAAGGACAAATGCTTCAAAACCCTGCCTGGGAAAATATGAGACCCTATTCACCTTTCTAACTAAAGAAAAAGACGACTTCAATGATAACGGAAAACTACGCCTTGCACTTTTCTGCAGAAAGAGCAACTTGGTGATGTTCTGACTACATTTTCAGGCAGTTAGCAAGGTAGAGATTACAGTCTCAATTAAAACACTTCTCAGAATCCCTTTTAAAAACAATTCTATCTAGATACAGTTTCATATCCTTCCCCCAGCTACTCCTGTGCAAAAGCCTCCTGTTATTTTAACCAGGCTTCCAAGTGAGCACAGCTTCACAGCCATCCTTCACTGCAAACTCACAGATCAATTCAGTCCTCTGACTGAAGCATTGCTACAGACAGAATAATTTCAGCACTTGTTAATAACAACAAGCTTCAGCTGCTCTCTGTCAGCTACACTTTAAACCCACTGCCCGTGCTCAGCACCTGAAAGCAGTAAGCATCCAGATGGAAGTTTCCAGGTAAGATGGGGACAGTGTGGTGGCAGGAACAGTTCTAAGCCACGCTGCCACAAACCTCTCCCCACCTACAGTTACGTGACTACAGGGCAAACAGATGCATTAAGTACCAAAGCATTCAAGACCCAGCTGACTTAAAGGCTACAGCTCACCTACCTGAGGACCATCCTTCAGCGCAGCAGTGAGGGCAGCGGCAGGGTTTCCCCGCAGCCTCTGCCATCAGCGGAGGCCACAGATAGTGTGTCCTGTCATATTTCGTGCTAGGGCAATTAGATGGTGGAACTGCTTCCTTCGGGTGGTAGGCCTGCGAATGGGCTGAGGAACAGGCCCCACTGGATTCTTGATTTGCCCGGGTCTCCCCATATTGCTGACAGCTTGCCCGAGCTGCTATGGGGTCTGTTAGGGCACAGAAGAGGTAGTGAAGGAAGAAGGTCAAAACTTAACTCAATAAAGACCACATTAAGAAGGGTATGGACTAAGACCTCACTTCCCATATAGATGTAAAAAAGACCACAGGCACATAACAAGCTCAAGTACACAGAGCAGCAAAACTGCATGTGCATTTCATGATTGAGGAAAGACAGATTTTCCAGACTGAAAAAAGGACAGAGAAACTTCCTTAGATAGGAGTGCAAACGTGGAGGCTGCATTTGGACCACAGCTTATTGGAAATCAACACAAGCGCAAACTAGCAAGCTGATCTAAAGCAACCACTCTCCTGCATGCTGCCACCGAATGAAAAGACTGAGCAGAAACAGATCGACCAGATCACCTTATCTACATTGAACTAGTTGACTGTAAAAATCAGAAGTGATTACAGTTGATTGGAGCTAGAGAAAGTATTTGGAAAGTGGGGGCACAACCCCCCCATGTGCTACTCTCAACCACAACCTGCATACACAGTTAAAACATTCCTGTGGTCGTCATACTAATATCAGGCAACAGCAAGCATTCAAAGTGTTATCATAATTAAGCATATGAAGTACAGAACATCATCATCCAGCCCAGGAATTGTATTGTTTTCTTCCCAGTGCAGCCCAAAATCCATTTTGTCTGCTTCTATCATTGCCTGGTGCAGTGAGAATGTATGTACATCTGATAATTGGCAAACTGATGCCCTTCCTCACATCAAGTCTGAATTATGTCAATACCAACCCTCTGACATTAGCTCCCTTCCCTCCTTAGCTCAGGACAACTCCAATACATGCATCCAGAAGGGAACCCAGTGCTCTGTGTGTACCTCTGAAGAATGCAGAGCCTCTGTTTTATCTGCATTAAATGATTCCTGTGCTGTTTCTTTCCCTTTAATGTGATTATAGTTCTCTAGAATCTCAGGGAACATACAGGAGATACACATTATGGTATTAAGACTTTCCTTCCCTTTATTTTTATTTAAAAGACTTTCTAGAAGCTCTTGTTTATTATTTTTTGTTGTTGTTGACCACATTTAGAAAAAAATCACTTCCCAGACAGAAAGGGTGACAGCTGATATCATGATGTAGTCAGGTTAAAGAAATAATAAATGAATAAATAATGAAAGAGCTGAATAAAGGAAAAAGCTATTTTCAAACAAATCAAGTTACCAGCTGAGCAGATCAAAAAACCTGACTCTGTGGACTGCAGTCCGATGGCATTACTACACCTGGAGCAACCTGTGGGACCACAAAGCACAGAACTGAGCTTTTGTTAAATAACTCTCTCTAGTGAGATAAATGTCACCACTTCTGGTGCAAGTGAACTGCAGTTCTCACTATGAAATAAATCTGCAGTTTACTAATAAGGTTGTACCTAGTTATGTCTTTAAACTAATGCTTTTGTAACAGTATTCCAAATCCTAAGCGATCAGACCCCCACAATACTGTACAGAAACAGTTTTTCACACTGCAGTTAGCAGCAGTCAAGCAACAAGGTATTTAATAGGGGCATGTGCTGAGTTATCTCTGTATAGACCTTGAGACACCACACTGAAACACATGCAATATCCACAGTGTGATCCTGCAGTGATACAGAAGCACGGCAAGCAGCCCGCTTTCACCTGAACCCTAAGTGCCAAGAGAGAAACCAGCACAAAAACCTCTGGGAAGAACCCTTATAAATGCTGAAAAGGACCTTTAGAGTGTTAGTTGTTAGTACTCAAAAGTTAGGGACAACATACAGCTTAAAGCACTCTTCCTACTAGGCTGGAAAACAAACACAGCCGATTTACACTCCACAGAACTCCTAAAAGGAACTGCTTTGGTGACCTGCTCTGGCTCCCGTGTTTACATGCAAGTGTAATGCAAACAGAGCTGAAATGTTCTGCTTCTTCATGAAGGCAGCACTCTATAGCTGACCCCTGAGCTGCTTTCTGCCCACTGTGAGGCTTCCTTAAGGCACAGAACAGCGAGGAGCAACAGAAATGCCCTTTCCAAGGGCACGCTATGTAAAAGTCACATAGAGGCCTAGATCAGAGCACAGGGCTCTGGGGTGCCTGCTGTCACCTCAGCTGTAAGGCACCTAAGGCACCCTGCATTACAGCTGAGCATCCGACCCAGAAGTCCTGAGGCTGTAATTAACGTGATTTGGCTTGGTCAAGTTTTTGATTTGTTAAAGTGAAAGCGTCAAGTTGGAAAGAAGGGTTGGATCACAATACATAATAAGAATACATCAGCGTGAATTACTCAATTGGAGTTGTATAGCACTGCACTCCAAGACCTCCCTCGGTGCACACAGCTGCGCGAGAAGGAGCCGCTCCCAGGCAGAGCAGCGCTGTTCATGAATGAGCTTCTGGAGTACAGCACAGATCCTCAGCGCTCTGAACCCAGTTGAGCGCCGCACGAGCAGCGGGAGGATTTCAGAGCAGACGCACATCGCTTCTCCCGTTCTGAAAAATGGCCACCCACGGCTTTCGGAAACTCCCGGTGAGCAGCCGAGCACGCGGAGCGCTCCGCCGGGGGAGAAGTTGCGGAGGCAACGGCGCCCGCGGCCCGGCCCGGCTCGGCTCTCCCACCCGCCGGGGCGAGGCTGCTCCCCGCCCGCCCTCAGCGCGGCCCCGAGGGCGGCAGGCGCGCAGGGCCCGGCCCCGCTCCGAGTCGGGCTCCGCTCACCTTGCGCGATGGCGATGGACTCGAAGCGGTGCAGCTCCCGCAGCAGGCAGCTCCGCTCGGTGGAGTGCAGGCTGTAGATGAAGTCGCGGGCCCCCTGCGCCGTGTTCAGCGCCTCCATCGGCTCCTTCTTGGGGTGCGTGCCCAGCGCCCGCCCGGGCGGCGCTCCCCGAGCCGGCAGCAGCCCGTCGGCGCCGCCCCGCAGCGAGCCTAGGCGGCGGCGGCAACAGCACCGCGGCGGGCCCCGCAACGAGCCCAGGCGGGAGGAGGAGGAGGAGGGTGCAGCGGGGCCCCCCGGCCGCCCCAGCAGCAGCGCTGCCCGGCCGAGCCACGCCGACATGGGGCAGGGGAAGGCGCGGCGCTCGGGCCGCCGCAAACGCCCGCCGCGGACTCAGGGGCTGGGGGAC